AGGGAGGGGGGAGTGGGGAGTGGGGAGGGAGGGGAAAAATGAGGACCTAATGTCAGGAAGGTGAGCATCAAGGAATGTCAGGTTAATAGAACAAAGTGTTGTTGCATTCCTCAGACTTTTCTAAGGTTACTCATTTTCGAGAAACTTTTATCTCCCAACAGGCAACTCCAACTGGAGTTTGATAGGCCTGTAGTCGTTTCCAGACATTCAAGCAATTAGTAACTTCTCAGCTATCTGTGGTACCGCTCAACCTTCTATTCTTAGGGACTCTCGCCTGGGATTCATTAGCACCATGGATGTAGAGAAAACGAGCTTTCTCCAGATCAGTGTGGACTGCAACTCAGTGGAAAGAAAACAAAAATCCTCCCACTGCACCAACGGGCCTCATGATGCAGGGAGAAAAGAATGAACTTGTTGAGGATTTCGTCTTACTTGCGTCCATAATCAATGCGCATGGAACCAGTGGTGAAGAAAGCAAGCGATGTGCTGCATTGGGTCTATCTGCTGCCCAAGCCTCTTCACAGTGGGAAAGAGCAAAGGACTGTGGTGGGCCTGGTCCCGGCTCTGGTCATTTCCATCACCTCAGAAGCAAGTGGACGCTGGACAATGAAGAAGGGTGAGTGCAGATGAAAGGCTGCCTTTGAATGATGGTGTTTACAGAGAATGTTGGAAGTCCCACGGACAAATCTGTCTAGGAGGAAGGATAGACACAATGCTCTTTCGGAGCAAGGATGGAGCAGCTTTGTCTCCATCCTTTGGGCACATGATCAGGAGGGGCCCCCTTGAAAAACAAGAGCCAAATTCACCACCACCGAGTCCATTCTGATTTACACAGAAGCAGCCACGTCCTTGAAAAGGACATCAGGCTTGGGCAAAGTAAAGGGAAACGTCGTCTCAAGGACATGGATTGACACAGTGGCATCAACGATGGGCTCACACGCAACAACGTGAAGATGGCCCAGGATGGGCGGTGTTTCATTCTGTCGTGCACAGGGTGGCCACGAGATGGGACAGACACGACAGCACCTGACAACAGACCGCTACTGCTAAAGAAGCCACCTGACTGCAAGAAAGCCACCCAAATGGTCTAGCAACACCTTTGGAAGCACCTATCCCTATTTACTAAAGGAGCTTGGTGGCACAGTGGGTTTAGCATTGGGCTGGTAACACAAAAGGTGGTCGTCTGAGCCCACCCGCCGCTCGATGGGATACAGATGGGGCAGCTTGCTTCCGTCAAGAGGAAAAGCCTCAGGAAATCCAGGGAGCACGTCACCTCTGACCTAGAGGGCCAGAATTGGCTTGACGGTAGTGGCTTTGGCTTGGGCCCATATTTATTAGATTATGCTAGCCAAGGGCTGGGAGATGTTCTGTATTCAAATGCTCTAGGTGAGCTTTAGAGCCCTGGTGCCACAATGGTTAAGCCATCGGAGGCTGACAGAAAGGTTGGGGGTTTGGAATTACCAGTGGCTCCACAGGAAAACATCGGACAGTCTTCTTCGGAAAAGGTTACCGTCTTGGAAACCCTGTAGGAATGCTCTGCTCTGCCTAGTCACGTCACTCTGAGTGGGAATTCACTAAATGGCACAAAACAATAACAGTAGTAAACGTGTCTTTGAGAATTATTTTCGAATAGACTTTTTCCTGTTGGATGCTTCAGTCCTGTCTATTATTGGACCCCAGAGAATGGTATTATAGAGCACATCATGAGAATTTGGGGATTGGTGCCAATTACCAATATGTTTAAACATTAGCACTCTCTTCAGTTTAGGTAACATTAGTCTCGACAAATGGGATCGTAGTAGTATGCTGCAAGTGGATTTCATCTCACCCAGCCTCCTGCCCAGTCCCACCCAATTCTTCAGGATGTTCACCCAACACAAATATCCAAGAAAATCCTGAGCCTGGCTCTGAGATCTTATTTCAGGTAAACCCGTAAGGGTGAATTCTGTTTTCGTTTGAAAGCAGAGGTTGCTCCTGTAGTCTTTTTTCTTCTAGGGAAAGAAAATTGGGCTAACCAAGAGATGAGATTCCAGTAGGAGATAGGGACCCTCAGCCCCCACCTCACTGGACACTGTCCTCCACAGGAGCCATCCCAGAGGCTCGGCATGGAGGGTATTCCAATCCGAGGCCGCTGAGGGTGGGTGGATGAACAGGTGAAAGGCATATGAGCATTCTGAGAACACTAGATTGTGGATCTCGGTCATGGCCAGTGCTTCAGGATGAGACTTCTTCAGTACAATTGTGGGTCAAATATGTGTCCTAAGAACCTGATCACCATGTATTTTTTCCACAGAAAAAAATGTTCACACAATCAACTAATAAACACATTTTTGGAACAAAGACTCTTTATACATTGTGACTGCTTTTGTAGCTCAAAAGGCAAATTCAAATCCAAGCCATGGCAGTCATAATTGACTTTCATGACACCCTGACACCTCCCCTCAACCCCATCTTGAACATTTAAAATAAAAAATGTAAGCACCATCCATTCAATACACCTTATGATATAAACTCCCCAAAGGGGCATATTATGAAATTGTTGGCAAGCCAAATGGTTCATCTACTAGTTAATATCTACTCACCAATTAGCTACGTGCTTAGACACATGCATACATGAAGGCATATATGTCTACATGAACTAAAATGACAATTTGCCAAAACAGCTTCTTTTAGATGGATAAAACTCAGCAACACTGAAGATCGAGCCTGAATGCATGAGGCGGAGGTAATAACTACCATTTTCCTGGTGGAACACCTCAGCTCTGACAATGAAAACATGTGGTCTTTCTTGGAGACTATTCAAAAGGCAATGCTCAAAATGGTTTTCACAAATCATTTATTATGATTGAAAGGGAAGAAAATGATAGGAGACAAATATTACAATTAAACATGTAACATTATTCTCTTGTAACCAATCATAATAACATACTTTGAATTTTTAAAATGGCTATATAAAATAAAATTTTCACATCATCAGTTACAGAAAATGGATTTCTTTCTATCAAAATATTTCATCTCTATCAAAAATAAATGCGAAGAGTAAGGGACCGCAATTTAAGCTAAGCTTCACTACCTGCTTAAATTAGAAGTTGTTGGAGTTCTTAACAGACAGTGAACTCTTGCCTGAGAGTAGAGTGCTCACACATCTGGAAAAGCTCTGCCAAGCCTCTGGCTCACCAACCAATGATTATTGCATGGTTTTTCTGGGAAACTTGGAAACGGCGATGGTATCCCAGCCAGACGGCTCCTGAGAGTCACCCCAAACTGGCAGCCAGTTTATACCCAGAAGACTACGTTGTTTACTCAATGAATGGCTGTGGCTCAAAAAAAACGCAGGGGAAACAGTGGCGTTCTACTTCTATGAGGATTTTTTGACCTTCATGTCACTACCAATAAGGTAAAGCATGGCTGAGGTGGTGTCTTCTGGGCTCTGGCTTTCACCAGGAGGCTACCACGGAGCAGAGCGTTTTAAAGGCCACGTGACAAGGGTTGGCATGAGAACAGTGCACAGCCGTGTGGAGAGCGCAGCCACGGAAAGAACTAACTCAACAGCTCAGATGCTTGAAACTGGTTAAAAAATATGCCACACGCAAAGTGATAAATACATGTCCCCAAATAAATACACTTGCTCTACACATAAATAAAGTAGACCGACGATTACTGCTAAAATTAAACATTTGAAAAATAGAATTTTCTTATCTTGTCACAGTTTCATTTTTATTCTGAATGAATACTAATTACTTTGCTGGGGCATGCCCAGAACTATCTTAATCAAATAATGGAATACATTTCCAGGCTCTTTAAACTAAAAATTTACCATCTTTGACAGAAAAGTTATTTTTGTCTTTTCTTTAAAAAAAAAAAAAAGAATCTTTTTGATCGTTTGCTTTCAAACTATAATTAGGAAGGACTGTGTGTGAGGGAGAAGCTTTTAGCATTGTCTTTGTTCTCAAAGAGATCGTTATTTAACAAAGCAAGGTCACAACAACGCAGCGCCACCTTCAGAAAATGCAGGAAGTTTTCCAGGGAATGCTGGGCTGAGGACGAAGGAATGTCAGGAATCGCTCTCTCATTTTCCATTTCACACTCCAGAGATCCGCAAAGGGGACAAGGTTTACTTTCCAATATCATGTGGGAGGTTCCAGTTACCTAACTCCTGTTTTCTCACATCATGATTCATGGAGTCAAACAGATTAACTTCACTCGTTCTACAAACTTACCCCTCGAGAGCACCCCCATGCAGCTGTTTCTTACAGTGTGAAGGCCAAGAGCCCCCAATAAAATGATTATAAAAAAATAAATAAAGGCACATTTAATTGTAGTCCTTAATTTTGGGGGCAGTGAGCATTTCGAAACGATCAACTAGTTCACCCGAGTTGTGGAATTTCCCTTCTTAGAGATTGCCAGGATATTTAAGAATGAAAAGAAAAGCAATATTGCACAACGTGCCAGAGAGCCAGAGAGAAGAGCCGACCTGACAAGTTCAGGCGCATTTAATCTAAGAGATAATCAGTGGCTGGAAACCTTTATGGTTTTGTTTCATTAGGAGTCCTCATTAGAATATTTCAGGATCAATAAAAGAGAGTGACCTCCGTCGCGGTGTGCCAGAACGCACGTGAGTTTGTCTGAAGTGGACACACCTGCTGGCCAGAGGACAAGCAGTTCGGCTCCGGTGGTTTCAGAGTAAGGTGGGGCCTTTGGTGGGTCTGGTGCCTGGAAGGAGGGGTTGGCTTCCCATCGCCCGGCCTTGGGGTCCTCGGGTCTGGACTGAGAGCGAGGCTGGAGCAGAGAGGTGGTGAAATGCTGCCTTTTGCTGATGGAAGTTGTTGATGTAACTGGCAATCAATAGGGTGATTTCAAGGATCTGAAACAACCACCACAACAGCTTGGTTAGGTTCCTGAGAAGGTCTCATCGAGAGAGAGAGAGAGAGAGAGAGAGAGAGAGAGAGAGAGAGAGAGAGAGAGACTGACTGTCTCCATGTGCAAGAGCCCAAGTTACCAGAATTCCCTTCTCTCTAGGTCAAACTTTAAGGTAGTTGAGGGGCGCCAGAGACCAAATCAGTCGAATTAGAACAAACAGGTTTTATTAGGGAGAAAAACCAAGCCTGGGCGAAGTCCCACGGTCCACAGTGCCCAGGCCAGGGAGTCGCACTCCAGGCTACAGGGGTGGTGCTTCTATGGCCGGGGGACCTGTGACTGGGCTGTCTTGAGTCCATATAAGGTAAAGTAGTCAGGGATTGGGAGATACAG